TATTAGTGCATCAGCACTATTTCTCCAAGAAAAAAACAGTTATTGGAAGACTGTAGTAGGTGCTAGAGTATTACCTTATTTTGTATTCATAATTTTGACAGCTGATAGCTATGTTTATAAATTTCAGCCTCAAAAAGTGTTTATTTTTGTTTGTGATTTTCTGCTGATACCCATGTTTTGATGTTACCCACAGTAAAATGGAAAACTATTGTAAAAAATAAATTTTTCTAAGTAAAATTACGTCATCTTCGAAAAGCAAAACGTCAAAGTCGTCCAAAATGTCAGAAATTTGAAATAAGGGAAGTTTACTGCCTTGCACTAACCATACACAAATAAAGACAAGCAGTAACCTTATTTAGGGAATCCTTATTTTCAGACCCAAATGCGCATGCGTAGATGTCAAAATAAGACTAACTTAAATACTGCTTGTCCTTATTGAACGTCCAATAACTCTCTATTGTCAATAGATGGCGCCACCAGTTAAGAAATTTTGAATTATTTTTTTTTGAATGATGACAGCACTCTGTTTATGGCTTTTCCATGGTAATTTAGCGAAAAACAATAATTTCATGAAAAAAATACTTCGAATTGTTATTAAAAGTTACCTAATGTTTGGGATAAGGCATTATTATGGAAATATTGAGTGATAACGAAGAATTTTCACTAACACCTCCAGAAATTACAGAAAGGGCGACAAATGCAGGTAATAATATACTACCGGACAAGTCCAAGAAAATTTGCGAAAAATTATATGGACAATTTATGGATTGGAAACACCAAAAACACATCGTCCTTCTCAGAAAATGTTTTGATAGTATATTTTGAAGAATTACAACAAAAAATGAAAGCTTCAACTGTATGGATTACTCAATTATAACATCTCTATTCAAAGTTAAGCGTAATGTTGACATATCTAAATATCATCATATCAAGTTTTATCAATGGCAGTAGAAAAAATAGTGTATGCAACTCTCATGTAATGGCCATTAATACACTCGCATGTTATATACGAAACTTGCCTGCGGCTCGTTTCGTATCCTACAACATGCTCGTGTATTAATGGCTATCATTACATGATCATTGCATAATATACTATTGTGAGCCAAACTAGCGCCGGCTACAGTCAATTTTGGCTCGGCACTAAAACGGCACAGTCAGCTGCGGCCGTATTTCAATAATTCCCTAATATACACTGCCGAGCATAAAATTAGGGTCACCCCATAATTCACAATTATTTTTGAAATTTTAAGTTTTTGAGATTTTTTTGTGGGTGTAGCATAGTTTACTACTCTATGTGATGATTTTATCGTAGTTGTTTGAATAAAAAAAAGTTGTTGTTTTGTTTAAAGTTTGATAAAAAAAAGGTGCCTCGCCGAAATTCCTCAAAACCATTATCAGCATATTTGTGTATTCCATGCATGGTATCTATCAATTGCAAATTGCTTGGTTACTATTGATGCTATTTTCAAGCAAAATGGCCAAAAATCCAGTAATTGCGGCACGAATTGTGGCGGCTATAGAAGATGGTCGCGGTCAGCGCGAAACTGCAAGAAACTTTGATGTAAGCCTTTCCAGTGTGCAACGAATATGCCAACGGTACCAAGAGACTGGTCTTCTTACCCGAAGACCTGGTTCGGGAAGAGGAAGGAGTACAACAGCTAGAGACGACCGCTTTATCGTTTCTAGTGCATTGAGAAACCGAACAGATACGGCAGTTTCCCTTCGAAATCATCTGCAAGAAGTCAGAAATGTAAACATAAGTGAGTGGACAGTTAGGAGGCGACTTCATGCTGCTGGATTATCTTCTCGAACCAGGGCTACTGGACCGCCGCTTTCCTGTGAACACAGAATCGCAAGATTAAATTTTGCACGAGAACACTTGGCTTGGACAATAGAGGATTGAAGTCAGGTATTGTTCTCCGATGAATCCCGTTTTTGCCTTACGGGCTCAGACAGACGTGTTAGAGTGTGGCGTCGACAAGGCGAGAGATATGCTGGAGCATGTATCGCAGAGTGACTTCCATTTGGCGGAGGCTCACTTATGGCATGGGGAGGGATTTCGTTCCATGCTCGCACGGAGTTAGCCTTTATCCAGAATGGGACTTTAAATGCACATAGGTACCTCACACAGGTTCTAGAAGACCATGTTGTACCGTTCATGGGTTTTCTTGGAGAAGGCGCAACCTTTATGCATGATAATGCACGGCCCCACACTGCTCAGTTTGTTAATGCTTATCTTGACGAAGTTCAAATCGTGAGATTTGTTTGGCCTGCTCGAAGCCCAGATTTGAATCCCATCGAGCATGTTTGGGATGAGATGGGAAGACGTTTACGGCGACATGTACCGGCCCCTAGAAACTCTAGAGAGCTTTGCAACATACTGATGCAGGAATGGGAAAATCTTCCCCAGGAGGTCATCCAAAATCTGATCCAAAGCATGCCTCGTCGTTTGCAAGCTGTTATCAATGCCAGAGGAGGAAATACTCGCTACTGAAGTTCCTAAAATTTCTTTTGATTCGACTAGAGAAAAAATCAAATTAAAGTTTTCATTTGTATTATCTTTAATAAACTTGGGACAAAACAACAAGAACGTTTTTTAATTCAAGCAACTACGATAAAGTTATCACATAAAGTTAGTAAACTGTACACCCAAAAAAAAAATCGCAAAAACTAAAAATTTCAAAAATAATTGCAAATTATGTGGTGACCCTAATTTTATGCTCGGCAGTGTATATTACTAGCTGACCCGGCGAACTTCGTACCGCCTCTGAATTATTAAATATACCTATTTATTAAATGTTGTGTTAACGTATCTATTAGCTGAATTAAATTCAGTTTTTTTCGATGGTGAATTTGGCTTTGGTTGAAGAAAATTAATGTTTACTCTCTGGATCAGAAGTCACCTAAAATTAAAATTTTACATCATCCTTTTTTAGGCAGCTTGTGGGCATTATTCTTGTAAAGTGTACCACCAAATAAATAAACTAGGGCACAGGAATGTTCAAAGAATGTAAAGAAAACAAAAAAAATCTCTAGCGCAGCCCTGTTTCACTCTATCTGCACTGCATGCACTGCACTACTCCATCTGTTCTACTCTATCTGCACTACTCTATCTGATCTACTCTTTCTGCTCCACTCTATCTGATTGGAATAGTGGAATAGTTCTGTTCGAAATAGCTCCAGTTCCTGAGCAGCATTGTTCTACTGTATCTGCAATGCCGAGCTTCGTTCCAGGTATCAGAGATGGCGCGGTATACAAAATACAAAATACAAAATAAACTTGGTATCGGTTATAAGAGATGGCGTCGTATGCGGGCTTAGTTAATTTTTTTCATAAATAAATAAAATAAGTAATGAAATGACCACATTAATGACATAACAACATGCTGGTACTGTCAACGCTGAAAAAAGATTCAATTTGACAGCAAAATCCCCATTAACAAAATGATCCTCCATTTATTTACAAAAAATGTGATAAATGAAGAACCGCTCGACCGATTTTGTGCAAACTTCACATAAACTATCTAATAAATAGTCCGAACAAAGCCTAAACATTTGGTTTGGCTAGGTGAGCCCGTTCTTGAGTTATAAAATTACAACGAAAAGTGGCATTCATTTTTATATATATATATTATTATTACAGAGTCCTAGCCCAGATATACACTTGCCATTTCGAGACGAACGCAAATTATGAAAAAACTAAAATATTCGGATTGTAGATAATCCATCAAAGAATGTTTATGCCAATTTTGAGCCAATTAGGCACTAGCTGACGTCACACACATAACCTCTCAATGACGTTTTCGTCCCCCTGTCGAAAGTGACGTTATATGATTTTTGACGTATTTTATCTAGCGTCTGTGTATTAAAACCTTCAAGCGCTTTGTTTGTCTCCCTCATAGAACTGACAGATTTCAATGTCATTAACGCCCCTGTGCGCTCTAATGTATTTTCATTATTTCTCTGTGTTTTGTTAAGGTTTTATATTTTATAATCAGTTATTAGTACTTTTGAAAATGAAGTTTTTGCACCTTTTTGTGATTTTAAGTAATGCTGTAAATAAAAATGAGTTTGCCTCCTCTAAATGTTCGGTTGCCCCCTCTGGAATCAAAACCTGGCTACAGGCCTGAGTAGACTTAGATAAATTGTTTCTCAGGAGGCTGTTGAATTTTCTTTATGTACCTAGAGATATTTGGAAAGAACAATTCAAGAGCCAGGAATAGACAAAAATTTAGAGAAGAAATTTAAGGAGAAAAGCAGAAGTATCTGTGAGAAGAAAACCATCATTCGATAATTTTACAGATTTAATGGGTTTGCCTAGGTATTCTCTGATATAAAGTAAAAAGTTAAGCTTTCGGAGATAGTTTGGAGAGGAAAAATTGTCTGAATAAACTTCCAGATAAAGATGAGATTGATCAATCCGCCGACAAACGACAAACTGCGTGAACCAGGGATAAGGTCAATCCGTAGGGAATCCAGATGCCTGAAAGCCAGGAAGGCACCAGGTCGCGAGGCAGGGTGAATGAGGAAAAGCCTAGAAAGACTGTAATGACCTTAACTATTACGACCTTTTCCCTTCTGCGACTGGAACACTTCATTTCTAATAGAGTAGACATAATAATTAAAGACACTGAAATTTTTCAAATTTTTTCTTTTGATCTAGACATAGTTTATTACGGGCCCTACTTTTGGAGGTCCCTAGGCACGTGCTTTATGTGCCTAGGGTTTAATCCGGCACTGTCTGTAATAATTGGCAAACTGCTGCTATTGATACTGTATTGAATAAATAAACAAATATATTATTGCTTGGCGCAATCCTCAGAAAATACAGTTCCATGCATGCCTATACCCTATACCTGAGTTGAAAATGCAGAAGGCTACTCGAATGTCGATGTTGAATAAATAATTAGATTTCCTTGGGCCACTCTGTAGCTTTCATCGACCAGGATTTCGGAGAAACCCAACCTTGCGGCGCGTATCGGCAACGTTGCGCGCCACTTAACAAATCCAGCCACAAAATACGTAGAGGCTCTCAGCCGTGTGGTGCGGACCCGAAGAAAAACGCGAAAATGGCTAAAAAGTCGTGAGAAAATTACCGGAGTGCGTTTTAAAATGTTCAGAAACGTCGCGTGCACCCGCGTGTGTAATTAAAATTGCTTAAAAACATTTACAAAACTTGAAAACCGCACTGTAAACAAATCCGGGTTACGTAGAGGTATGGCAAAGATGGCTGGACTTTAGGACTAGTCTTTTGTTTGTTTATCAGCATGATAGAGAATTTATTCGGGAGTGGATTAAGGATTGAGAGGTAATGAACAATTTCAGAGCATTTTTAGAATATCAATTATGCCACTAGGGCTTTTTTTGGCTTCAATATGGGCAATAGGAGGCGACATTTTGTCGACAACTCCCCGTCTGTTTACGCGACAAATACGTGGGAAGTGGCTGGTATCAATAATAGGAATACATGTATTTTCCAGTAGTAATAGCCTTTTAAAGGCCATCTATGTTAATTTTTTTTTGGCCTATTGGTGAAAACACGCCTGTTATTGAAATAAAACCTTTTATTGAATAGAGACAAAAATATTTTCTCTGTCAACAATACCATTTATGTGTATTTCTTATGCCAATACTTCTATATTTAACTTGACTTTTTGCAGATACAAAATACATTTATATTATATTATCTGGTTATTACGTGCCAGCTTGTATTTCTAGTAACCTTTCAGAAATCAATATTTATTAATTAGTTAGCTCAAATGACTAGTTGAAATGTAACAAGTAAAAGTTTATCATGAATCATGAATTTGCTTAGTAAGTACTATCTTCATTTCAAATAATTTCTACAATAAATATTGGGTTTCAACAGAGGCTTTAACAACAGAAATAATATCTATGATGATGAAATAATTTTTAAACTATGTATATTAATCAATGCATTTAGGTACAGATTAAAAAGGGACAATGAAGCAATAATACCTATGTACTCATATTTTTTTTTTTGAAACAACTTTATTAACAATTCGAAATATAACAATTTTTGAATATTTTTTTTTGCATCTCAAATCAGTGCTTAAATAGCTCTGGCCTCGAGATTTAAATAACTTATATTAACAGTGTTATGTTGTCTAAGTGGTGATAGTTGATACTAACGTATAATATACTTTTGATTTTTTGATTTAACATACATTTTTTTTATAGCTTTTTTTTTAATAAATATTAAGGTAACTTTTACATTTTCTAACAAAGAGTGGATAAGAATTAGCAAACCTTATGTCATCTCCCAATTTATTAAAACATTTGGAGGCAAGTTGGACAGGATTATTTAAACCTATGTTAGTTCTGCTCTGTGTCAGATATAAACTTGACTGCGACCTTGTATCATGATTATGAATTATGCTTATGGATTGAAAATTTGTATTTGATTTTTGTAGGTTATTAAGTATTTTATATACAAGTTTGCACTGCTCAAGTTCCAATATTTTTTCTAATTTAGGTACATTCAATTCTTGATATAAATCATTCGTAGGTGTAAGATACTCATAATTAAATAAAATTTTTAGGAATTTATTTTGCATAATTTGCATTTCACTGAAGCTGGTTTTCCCACAGGTTCCCCAAATGGGTAATAGATATCTCAGGTGTGACAAGAAAAATGCAGTATATATTTGTTTTTTTGTTTTTTGAGAAATATAACTTCTACATTTATAAATTATAGGTATCATAGGATTCACTTTATTTAATATTTTTTTAATATGTAATTGCCAATGTAGATGTTCGTCTACAATTAAACCTAAATATTTGAGAGATGATACTTTTTCTAGTTTAATATTATTAATTTTCAAATCAATATCACCTACTACTTTATTTTTTTGTGTGAGAATTATAAAATTAGTTTTATCGATGTTTACTTTTAATTTGTTAGAGTACAGCCACCTGAGATATTTATCTAGATCCTCATTAATTAGAATTTCCAATTCTTTTTCATTTTCACCTGTATATCTCCAAACATCTCTTGCCAATCCAGGCATTCTCCTCCAAGCCTCTGTCTCTCATTCCCATGACTTCTCCAGCTTCTTCTTGGTCTGCTGTGTCACCTTCTCCATGGCTTCCAGTCAATAATTTGCTTGGGTATTCTTGTATCTGCCATTATTTTAACATATTCGATATTTTGGTCCCAGAGTACTCCATTTAGTAGGGATATTGTATTGCGTCCTTGTATATTCCGAGCCTTAATTGCTTCGTCTAGGGTTTCCTCATGCAAGATTTTCATTCCCAAATATTCGTGTTCAGTAGGTACATTATTTCTTACCCGTTAATCAATTTCAGAGCTCTTTGTTTACTTCCTATCAAGCCTCCTATAGTCATATATTCTGTTTTAGAGATTTACTTTCAAAACCCATTACTTGTATGCCTCTATCAATTTACTTGTCATTGTACTCTAGGTCATCATAGTCCTGTGCAATTAATACTTGATCATCTGCAAGGGTTAAAGTATAAAGATTGTATTCATTGAGCGGTATTCCCATGTATCTGCATTTGTTTTTACAGCCCTTAAGCGTTCGTTCTAAGTATATTTTAAAAAGTGTTGAAGATACGCAGCATCCCTGTTTAAGTCCTTCAGTTGCTGTAAAGCCTTTGCTGATTATGCTTCCTTGTTAATTCCTGTTTTTCGAATTTATGATTTCAGGTTCACTGGTAAACTTTAAAAAGAAGTACAAGGCTTCTCTGCTGGAATTAATAGCGTAGCTTAGAATAGGCATTGAATTTTTTATTTATTTATTTATTTATTTTTTCGGGTAGCATGGAAGAACACATTATGTGAATGTTACCTTTTATGTAATTTCTTTTGATGCATAATAAACAATATTATTATTATTATTATTATTATTATTATTTTTCATCACTATGGAGTGTTCCTCGAACCGTTTAAACTGCTTTTATTAGTTCTAAGTTGATATTGGTCTAGTTGTGCTTCCCATAGCTTTTTCAGTGGGATATTGGTTTCTTTAGATCTATAGTAAATGAACTTGGCAATTTTTTTACTCGTTTTTTCACTGCTCCAAAACAGGCTTGTTCTTCTACCTCACTATCTTTTTACTAATTCCTATTTTGGCTTTTACCTATAACAAGTTTTCCCTCGAGTTTTCCATACACTTTGCTCAACGTATTTGTCACTGCAATTCCCCAGTGGTTCTCACATTTGGTTTTGTTCTCTCTCCTTCCTCATATATCGTTGTTGAATAACTCCACTCTTCGGGTACTTCATGTTTCATGTTCATCAACTCTACATTCAAATTCAAATTCTTTATTCATGTTAAGATCACAAAAAAGCAATGTACATACGTCAAAGTAAATAAAATAAGTCAATAATAAATGACAATAAAATACAAAATGACAATTCATTCGCACATTAAACATTCACTTTACAAACAATTTAAAAACAAAAAATCATTAAGGCACTGGGCTTTATACATACAATCAAGTTATAAAATAAAATGCAAAAACTACAATTATTAATACTATTGATCATCACAAAAATACTTAAAATATTCTTCATTTGAATAAAAAACATGTAAAATTAAAATTTGTTTCACTTTCTCCTTAAATCTATTATTTGGTAGTTCTTTGATTTCCAATGGCAACACATTGAAATACTTTATTGCCCAGTAGCCAGGGCCATTCTGACACCTCTTCAGTCGCCTGTAACCTGGTATTAAATCACTTCTGTTTCTGGTGGGATAGGCATGTATGTCTTCATGAGTTGAGAACATATGGATATTGCTCTTTATATAAAGCAAATTCTCCAGAATATATAGAGAGGGCAGGGTAAGTATTCCTAGCTGTTGAAAAGTTGCCCTACAATCATCCCTGTAACCCAAACCACTCACCACCCTGACTGCCTTTCTCTGCAATCCAAACAGACGCTGAGCACCTGAGGCATGACCCCATACAAGTACAGCATAGGAAAGTTGTGCCTGAAAAGTTGCGAAATAAGCAGTTCTGCAAGACGAGGTAGCAGATACAAATAACTGTTCAGCTTTGAGGCTACAGCCTCAATGTGTATACCCCACTGTGCTTTTGGATCAATAAGAACCCCAAGGAACCTAGCTTGCGGAACTTGGTCTCTCACTGTCCCAATCTCTCTTAGAGCAAACACCATTCTCTCTGTCTTTCTCCTGTTCAACACTAACCTATTCGAATTAAACCATTTCTCAGCCATCCTATGTGCCTCCAAAGAACTCAACAACGAAGCCTCAAGAGAGTCCGCCATCACAGAGATTGTTGTATCGTCGGCAAAGAGAGTATAATTAGACTTTTGATCTATTAAGGGCAAATCGTTAACATATATAAGGAAAAGTATTGGATCCAGAATGGACCCTTGAGGCACCCCTATTTTTATTTCCTGCCCCGCCGACGTCACACCACTGTACTGCACAGCCTGGCACCTTCCTGTTAGATATGACTTTAAAAGTTTTCGGCTGCCATTACCGAAGTTATATGCTTCTAGCTTACGCAGAAGGATTCCATGGTCGACACAGTCAAAAGCTTTGCTGAGATCGCAAAACAGAACAGTATTATAACAGTGTCCATCAAAAGCATCCATAATATCAGACATGAGATTTAGGATTCCCAGAATGGTGTTTCTTTTTTTTCTAAACCCAAACTGATTTGCATTGAAAAGATCATTCACTTCAAAAAAACTTACTATTTGCCCAGACATACATTTCTCAAAGACTTTGGACAGTATGGGTAGCAGCAATATCGGTCTGTAATTCTCCGCCTCATCTGGACAACCCTTCTTAAACAGAGGAACCACAATTGCCCTTTTCATGCACTGTGGAAAGGATCCTTCCCCAATACACAAGTTTATAAGTTTTGTGAGAGGTGCCAGAATAAGATTTTTTACTGATTTTATGATTTTTACATTCAAGCCATATATATCCCGGCTGTTCTTATGTTTAAGTTGGTTTATTATATCTCTAACTTCATTAAAACTTACTTCAGAGAAGGAGAATGTTCCCTGAAGATTAACATTTTGGAGATTTTCCAAAGGGTCAGTATCCGACTCTGGCATACCCTGCACAAGTTCATTAGCAATATTTGAAAAATATTTATTAAAGTCATCTGAAGTAAGGTTTTTTGATTCAATATTTTGCTTTCTGTTTCCTCTGTTCTTATTAATAATTTCCCACATGCTCTTACTGGGGTTACTAGAAGAATTTATCAGATTATCATTTGAAGCAATTTTGGCTTTGCGGATCTCTTTTTTATATTGTCGCTTATACTGCATATAGTACTGTCTGT